AGAGCATGGCACTGCCATAGTGCATCCTGGTTTCAGCTCTTCCCCAGGTAAAGGATGCACATGTATCCAGTCATCCACAAGATGTAAAAGAAAAACATGATTCATTAGATCAGGTCAACTTCTTCCATGGTCCAATTCTCATGCTCACGTGCTCATTGCAAGAACTTGTTGGCTGTGGAGACGGGTCAGCATGGGCACCCTTACCAGTCTGTAACACTCCATACAAAACAAACTGCAATGCCCATTTTTTCTGCCTTCAAATCATCAACTTCAGGAATAACATGTTTAATTGCAACCTAATATATCCCACCGATTTCCAGGTGCAATTGTAAAGAAATACTTCAAGCAGAACTTTGGGCAGAAACTTTATTACATATTTGTACAGGTGCATCCATACCTTTAAATAATCCGTTGGTCTTACAGTGCACAGTTCTCTTGCCTGTCAGATATTCAGCCTGCTTTGTTCAGTGAAGAGCCCTCTGTCCCCCTCATATCCTGTTCACAAGACCGGTGGTTGATATGACTTCTATCCCCTCAGCCACCGGTCTTGTACAATCTTCTCAGTAGTTTTTAGTGAAGGCAGAGGACATGTTATCACTGAAGTAGATGGACCCAGGAGACTCATGCCCCCTGTCTGACCCACCAACTGTGCGGTGTCATTAGATGGTCTGGTCACTGCACTCCTGGTCTGTCCCGCCTCCTATGACCAGACAATTCATTAGCAGACCAGGATGTGCAAGGCAAAGAGAAAGTGATCCTTAGCACATTAGCATCTCATATTATGGGGAAACAATGTGCAATGTACGGTCATAAAATGAGAGCATAGCAGGGCACAGTGATGTCGGTGGGCAGAGTCCAAAGCCGCTGTGTAGCACACTTCACATCCGTTTCACACATGCCCACAGTCCCGCCCACGTAGACACTATATCCCAGGGCATGGTGGGATGCATAGTCTCAGTGAGCGGCAATGAGCACTAATAGGAAGTGACATTGCCGCTTCTGAGATAGACCCTGGGGACTGAGAAACTTTCAGAGCAGAATGATGACAACAAAGCTTTTAATACAGTGAGTTTTAGACAAAACACACAGGTTTGAGCAATACAATGTCAGCAGTTTTGCCTAACTATACTGGACTACTGTGCACATTTAATCACCACCCAGAGTTCTGTAATGTTATTCATTGAAACTGTCAGTGATGTTAATGTTATGAATGATTAGGATATAAACTATATACATATACAGTTGTGCTCAAAGTTTTGCATACCCTGGCAGAAATCGAGAAATCTTGGCATTCATATTGAAAATATGACTGATCATGCCAAAACTATCTTTTAGTTAAGCACAGTAATCATATGCAGCCATTTACTATCACATAACTGTTTGGCTCCTTTTTAAATCATAACAACATAAATTAACCAAATGGCCCTGATCAAGAGTTTATATACCCTGGAATTTTTGGTCTTGCTACAAACACACAAGGTGACACACACAGGTTACAATGGAAATTAAAGGTTAATTTCCCACATCTGTAGCTTTCTAAATTAGTGTCTGTGAATAAATACTGTAGTCAATAAGTCTGTTAGCGCTCACGTGGTTGTACTGAGCAGGCTAGATACTTAGCCATGAGGAGCAGAAAAGAACTTTCAAAAGACCTGCGCAACAAGGCAATGGAACTTTATAAGGATGGAAAAGAATGTATAAAGATATCCAAGCCTTGAATATGCCAGTTAGTACTGTTCAATCACTTATTGAGAAGTGGAAAATTCAGGGATCTCGATACCAAGTGAAGGTCAGTTGGACCAATAAAGATTGCAGCCGCAACTGCCAGAAGAATTGTTTGGGATACAAAAAAAAAAAAAAAAAAAAGCCTCGGGAGAAATGCAGGCTGCTGAGGAAAAAAAAAAAAAAAGAGCGTGGTGTTTCAAGGAGCACAATATGATGATACTTGAACAAAAATAAGCTGTGTGGTCGAGTTGCCAGAAGGATGACTTTATAGCTCCATTGCCACAAAAAAGCCTAGTTACAATATGCCCGACAACACCTCACAGTTTATGGCACACTGTAATTTGGAGTGGTGAGACCAAAATAGAGCTTTATGCTCACAACCATAAGCGTTATGTTTGGACAGGGGTCAACAAGGCATATAGCAACAAGAATACCATCCCCACTGTGAAGCATGGTAGAGGCTCACTGATGTTTTGATGGGGTGTGAGCACTAAAAGGTACAGGGAATCTTGTACAGATTGATGGCAACATGAATGCAGTATGTTATCAGAAAATACTGACTGACAATTTGCACTCTTCTGCACGAAAGCTGCGCATGAGCACAACAATGACCCTCACCACAAGGTCAAGTTGACCCTTCAGTGGTTACAGCAGAAAGAGGTGAAGGTTCTGGAGTGGCCATCACAGTCTCCTGGTCTTAATACAATCAAACCACTCTGGGGAGACCTCAAACATGCAGTTCATGCAAGACGACCAAAGACTTTGCATGACCTAGAAGCATTTTGCCAAGACAAATGGGCAGCTATACCACCTGCAAGAATTTGGGACCTCAGAGACAACCATTATAAAAAAAACTGTACGCGGTCATTGATTTAGAACAGAGGTCATTTCATTTGTTGACTTGCTTCCATGTTTTGTTTTATGATAGTGCCATTCTATTATGACCTACAGTTGAATTTGAATCCCAAAAGAAATGTGTTTTGCCTGCTTACTCATGTTTTTTTAAAAAATGGTTTAGAGGAGAAAGAGAAAAGCGAGTGTGTTTGTTACCTCCGGGTCATGCCATACCCTTCTTTCTGATGCTCCAAACTAGACCACAGACACCACCTAGTTGTCACTTGATAAGCAATTTCAGAGAGTCTCTAATATGATGATTATATCATCGTATGGTATATGAATCACCGCTGGTTCATACTGGTTGATCCACCTTGCCATAAATACCGAGCCCGCTACATACCTAGCAGGGACATATTAGTCCACAGAAACCCCCCCATAGGGACATACCTCAAAGAGAGAATGACATCATATAGAAAACTCTATGATATCACCATCAGGTGATAACTAAGTAGAGTCTATGGTCCAATTTGGAATATCAGAAAGAGAGGCATGGTGACAGTTCATCTATGGATGCTACATGGCTACAAACTGAACATCATGCAGTCCTGATGAGAGCCTAGGATAGCCTCCTAAAGCAGGTAATAATAGCGAAATTCTTTTAATCAGCAACTAGGAGGAGCACATCCTGACGCTCGCTCTGTTTCGCTCGTGTTACACACACACACACACACACACACACAGTAGTAGCTACATTAGATGTATATATCTTGTGGGGAAAGTTTTGGATATAATTAAAAATATATTTACATGATTGTTAGAAGTCATAGGAGAAACCCTGTTCATAGAGATCTCCAAGTGGGGGCTTGTTTTTCTAAATACATCTAAAATTCTATTGAAGGTAACATGAAAGACACAAATTAATAAAAATAAAAAATGAGTGTTCAAAAAACATAAAAAGATTGCGTAAATATGATTAGGCATTTTGATATTTATGGTTGAACTAATATTAGATTGACATTCTTGGTATGGAATATGTGATTAAATATTACAAGCATTCTTTTTCAATTATGAATGCTCTATTTAAACCGTAGAAACCAAGAAAGCCAAGAACAGAAAGTACAAAAAAAATAACACTTAAAAAAAAAAAAAAAAGATATATATGGTAAAATAGCATATACTTCAAGCTATTAAGTAAAGGCTTACATGTTTAGAACAAGCTTTTTTTTTTTTTTTTAATAGGAAGGGTAAATGTACACCAGAGGCAAAGCTATGCCCCTCATCACACAAAAGACCACTAGAGTGGTGCCCTGTCCCTGGGAATATGCACAACCGTATAAAGCAAAAGGGTATGCTCATCTCCTTGCATGCAGTACCCAAATGCATGCAAGAGAAACCGTTCTAGGGGAGAAGAATGCAGGACTCCAGTTACCAATATACCAATTGAAAAAGCCAGATGAAGTCTTGAAAGCATGGTCATTGTACATGTGATAGCCTCAGACAGTCATGTTCCCTAAGCACATGTGCTTCAAAAGCTAGATCATTAATGTCAGAGACAAAGGATGGAGGTCTAGCAGACCTGGAAGAGGTCAGAGCACACCAGGAGAAAGAGAAATCATATCTGGGTGGGCAGTATAATCTGTATGAGTACTTGCCAAGCTTCAGAAGTGAACAAATAACAGTAGGGGTCAAAGCATATCAACAACTTAGTCCCTAGGGCTGGCTAAAAACCTGGTTAACTTCCAGTTGAGGAATACACCATTTGGTCAAAGTGTAGAACAACCTTGAGACATTAAGGATGTTTTTCTGGAGGGTCCAGATGTGGTCCTGGGCAAAGAGTATTGAATTGAAGGAAGACATCACCAGAGTACTAGGGGTAATATCCTAATTATCCATGGGCGGCACAGTGGCTAAATGGTTAGCATTCCTGCCTGGCAGCACTAGGGTCGTTGGTTCAAATCCCAACCACGGCACCACCTGCCTGGAGTTTGCATGGTCTCCCTATGCCTGCGTGGGTTTCCTCCGGGTACTCCGGTTTCCTCCCACACACCAAAAACATGCTGATAAGTTAATTGGCTCCTGTCTAAATTGGCCCTAGTCTGTGTATGTACGAATGTGAGTTAGGGACCTTAGATTGTACGCACCTTGAGGGTTAGGGACTGATGTGAATGTACAATATATATGTGTAAAGCGCTGCGTAAATTGACGGCCCTATATAAGTACCTGAAATAAATAATAAAAAAAAATAGTGGGCTGCTATGGCTCCCAACGAAAGTTAAAATAAAATCCTAAATTTATCCAGACTTCCCACTACTTACATTTTAAAGAATTGGTTCAGAAGTGTATGTAAACACTAAATAGTTCTGTAAATCTGATTTCTATTACCTAGTAAAAGAGTAAAAAAGTAGTTGGCGGACAGAAAAGTAATAAAAGATACATACCTGGAAACACCTTCATTTTCACAGTTTGAGTATCTTCTTTTAAGCCAGGCAGTGTAACTTTCAGCATGAAATTCTATTAACAGAGATGTGCCATATGAGCATATAACAATTATATAATTAAAAAAAAAAACGCTGAGAAAAGAAAATAAATTAACTGAGATAAACCTTTGGGTACATGCCTATTGCTGTGTTACACAGGGATTACCACTGATAGGAAGAGGGAACAAATTTGTCCTTTAGGAACAAAGATGTCAATATTTAGGGAACTGGAGAATCTAAAAGTTAGGCTCCATGCACACTAGCATTCTTTTTTTAAGCTATTATGAGCAATTTTTTCTGCTCCTAGAAGCTACCAGTGTTATCCTGTGTGTCCATGCACACTATTTTATGCTAGAAGCATTTTTCAAGCATCAGTGTTTAGGAGCAGAAAAAAAATTGTTTTTGTAGCGTTTTTGGGAGCGTTTTCCAGGCAGAAAAATGTTCATCGCTCCTAAAAACTACTAAAACGCTCCCAACAGCTTTTTAAAAGATTTTCTTTTGTTCTTCATGTACCGTAAAAATGCTAATAAAATGCTAACACTCTTAAACGCTACTACAAGCTGGTACAAAAAGGCTATTTCATCCAGCCTTTTTCGAGCATATAAAAAACACTAGTGTGCAAATGGAGAAGGGTTTGGAGACCTACTAGAGCCTTTTCCCACACCTAGGAACCTTGTCATGTATTTGCAATACTGTGAAATATACCTAAAAGCTGACATGGCTTACATTTACACTGCAGAATGCACATGGGGCTTAGTGCACCAGATAAAGTTGCAAGAAAAAGTATGTGAACCCCTTGGGATTATGTGGAGTTTTGCATGAATTGGGCATAAAATGTGCTCTGAACGTCATCTAAGTCGCAACAATAGAAGAACACAGTTTGCTGAACATAATACTACACAAACATTAGATGTTGCCATGGTTTAATTGCACATAACATGTAAACATTCACAGTGTAGGGAGGAAAAGGTATGTGAACCTTTGGACTTAATAACTGCTTGACCCTCCTTTGGCAGCAATAACCTCAACTAAACGTTTCCTGTAGTTGCAGATCAGACCTGCACAATGATCTGGAGTAATTTTGGACCACTCCTCTTCACAAAACTGTTTCAGTGTAGCAATATTCTTGGGATGTCTGCTGTGAATCGCTCTCTTAAGGTCATGCCACAGCATTTCAATCGGGTTGAGGTCAGGTCTCTGACTGGGCCACTCCAGAAGGCGTATTCTGTGCTGTTGCAGCCATTGTTTTGTTGAATTACTTGTATGCTTTGGATCATTGTCCTGTTGCATCACCCATCCTCTGCGGAGCTTCAGTTGGCGGACAGATGGTCGTACGTTTTCCTGCAAAATGTCTTGATAAACTCTGGAATTCATTTTCCCATCAATGACAACAATCCGTCCAGGCCCTGAGGCAGCAAAGCAGCCCCAAACCATGATGCTACCTCCGCCATGTTTTACAGTGGGGATGACGTTTTGATGTTGGTGTGCTGTGCCTTTTTTTCTCCACACAGTGTTGTGTGTTCTTCCTAAACAACTCAATCTTGGTTTCATCTGTCCACAGTATATTTTGCCAGTAGTGCTGTGGAACATCCAGGTGCTCTTTTGCAAACTTCAAACGTGCTGCAATATTCTTTTTGGACAGCAATGGCTTCCTCCGTGGTGTCCTCCCATGTACTCCATTCTTGTTTAATGTTTTCCTTATTGTAGATGTGTCAACAAAAATGTTAGCATGTGCCAAAGATTTCTGTAGGTCTTTAGCTGACACTCTGGGATTCTTCTTTACCTCATGCAGCATTCTGCGCTGTGCTCTTGCAGTCATTTTTACAGGACGACCACGCCTAGGGAGAGTAGCAACAGTGCTAAACTTTCTCCATTTGTAGACAGTCTGTCTTACCGTTGACACATGAACATCAAGGCTTTTGGAGATACTTTTGTAACCCTTTCCAGCTTCATGCAAGTCAACAATTCTTGATCGTAGGTCTTCTGAGAGCTCTTTTCTGCGAGGCATGGTTCACATCAGACAGTGCTTCTTGAAACTAGTAAACCCAAAACAGGTGTGTGTTTTTTTAAGGGCAGGACAGCTGTCAGCAACACATCCAATATCATCACACTGATTGGAGTCAAGGTTGGCTCACTCCTGGCTCCAATTAGCTCTGGGAGAAGTCATTAAGCTAGGGCCTCACATACGTTTTCCTCCCTGCACTGTGAATGTTTACATGTTATGTGCAATTAAACCATGGCAACATCTAATGTTTGTGTAGTATTATGTTCAGCAGACTGTGTTCTTCTATTGTTGTGACTTAGATGACGTTCAGAGCACATTTTATGCCCAATTCATGCAAAACTCCACGTAATCCCAAGGGGTTCACATACTTTTTCTTGCAACTGTAAGTCCTGCATTCCCCCAGTTTTGCACACTACTTACTTTAAAATATGACTAATATTCTATATAATAAAAAGACTTCATTGCTGTAACCATGAACTATGATATCAGTGTGCCATACAGCATATAAACATGCTGTCAACAAACTGTGACACTAATCCTGGTAAATGCACCCCTGGGCAGCTGCTTTATTAATGGAAAATGCAAATCGTGGATGAAATATTACAACGCAGAAGCCTAAAAAGTAGCATATAATGTAAATTGTAAAATAACGGTTACCTCCCCCTGGCAGTTGTTCACCTGCCCTCTGGCATTCACTCCTTGTATTAACAAAGGATGCATTTTGTTTAGATCTTCATAATCCAGAATAAGACCACTAGGTAAGTAAGTAAAATGAATTATGAGATACAGATTTCATAAACTGCTGACACTTATTCAAATAAAGAGAAGTGGTCATTAAAACAGAAAAACTAACAAATAAGTCAAATGTGAAATACAAAAGTAACTTTTACTGCACACCTCTTCTGCCACATTTATTAAAACATATAAGCATGTCTTTTGTAGAATTTGTTTTTACCAATATACTGCATATGACAAATTGAAGCAATATTAACCATATGAGTATTTTAACTACTTGCCGACTGCAGATAGCCGAATGACGGCTACACTGCGGCCGGCCAGTTCTGGGTGGGCGTCATATGACGTCCTCCCAGAACACGCTCTCCTGCGTGCCCCTGGGGGCGCACACCCGGCGATCTCCGTAATCGCTGTGTCCTACGGACACAGCTGATCACGTGATGTGGTAAAAGGCCAATCACAGCGTCTTTTCACCACTGATGATCAATGCCCTGATGATCGATGCCTAGCAGTGCCACCCACAAGTGCCACCTACCTGTGCCCAGCAGTGCCACCCACCTGTGCAGCCTAGCAGTGCTGCCAGTCAGTGCCCAGCGGTTGTGCCAGTCAGTGCCCAGCAGTGATACCAGTCAGTGCCACCTATCAGTGCTGTCTATCAGTACCCATCATCAGTGTCGCCTATCAGTGCCGCCCATCTGTGACAGCTCATTAGTGCTGCCTATCAGTGCCCTTCATTGCTGCCTCATTAACGCACATCAGTGAAGGAGAAAAATTACCTGTTTGAAAAATTTTATAATAGAAACAAAGAAACTTTTTTTTCTTCAAATTTTTTGCACTTTGTTTCTTTATAGCGCAAAAAGTAAAGCACCCAGCGGCGATTGAATACCACCAAAAGAAAGCTCTATTTGTGAGAAAAAAAATAATAAAAATTTCATATAGGTCAAATCTTGCATGACCGCGCAATTGTCAAAGTGCGACAGCGGTGAAAGCTGAAAATTGACCTGGTAAAGAAAGGGGTATAAGTGCCCGGTAGGCTAGTGGTTAAACATTGGAGATGCTTTGTACCAAAAACAGAAGAAAAACAAACAAACATTCTTACATTTAGCTCTTTCCCCCCTTCTAATGCTTTCAAAATGTACTGTAGCTTCTCCCACGTAAAATGACACTTGCAGATAGTCTGCAAATGTCAGTAATAACTTGTAACAATGTATTGCTTCCTTTTTTATTTACCATTTAAATCATATGCAGATCCTTAACTATTAATTTTTGCTGACTTTTTTTTCCATTAATATTATTTTTTTCCTTTTCCATTCATTCTGTGTTTTCAGAATCTCATAAAAATGTGCAAATCTAAAGAAAAAAAAAAGCTTTTTGGGAGGTATGTACCTTGGAGTATGGTCCAGGACGGAGGAATCAAAGAACTCATAGACCACTGGTTACATGCTGCTACTTCCAGGTGATTGGCCACTGGCAAAAGCTTTGCTGGGTCCACTCCCTTGTGTTCCCACATAACCCTGCCCAAACTGTAAGGCTCCAGTTTAGTTAGCAAGCAAAAAAGAAATCTAAGAGAAGAAGAGGGAGCAACCTGTGTCCTGTACTGTACTCCAAGATATGGAATAAATAGATACGTCAGAATCCCTATTTTTATCATACGCTACAGGATACAGAAATCAGTTCATAAACCATAGGATGTCCTCAAGCAGTAATCAGCAGTGGGAAACAATACATCTAAACAGCAGCAACAGGCCCACAGGAGAAAAGGCAGGACATGGCAGGAAAATTTAGGTTTCAAAAGGACAACAAGAAGCATTATGGAGGTAAGGAGAACACAGGCTTACAGGCTACCCTATCTCCAAGGAATGGTTACCACAGCTGATGGGAACAGGAGGAAGATTGGATCTTATGGGGGTCATCTCAAAAACGCAATCCCTCCTATTTAGAAAGATAGAGCTAAGGGTGGCCACGAGTTCCTGTAGGACTCCCGGTGGGTGACAAGGCAGAGTCCTTTGTGGTAGAAGGCTGCACAAGGAGTGCAAAGTGTCAAGAGATAGGAAGAGGGTGTATAAGGTTAAACAGGTCTTACAGGGCGCTAACTGAAATGCTGTATGTATGGCCAGGTAAAGGTATATAAAGAACGGGGGACGAGTTGGGAAGTCACAATGAAGTCTTCAATTAGCTTACTAGGTGGAGACATTTTACAAAAGATTACTGAGAAGGGAATTAGTTTGGCTGAATAGAGATGTAAGGGAGT